CCCCTTTCATTCCTGAATCTCCTTCTTCCTCTGTTTCTCTCTCTCTCTCTCTCTCTGTATGTATATGTGTGTGTGTGTGTGTATATATATATATACATACATTCCCACTAGGGTTATTCAGTTCAGAGTGGCTGTTTGAGAGTAATGTGGCAGTTTTGTGGTACATTCACCACAGTTCTGAACTTTGACTGAAAAATGAAGAATCTTTCCGAAAGCTTTAGTTTGGGGGACCTGACAAAAGCTTTGAATTGTGATCATTAAAATATCTCTACTCAGGAATTAGGGGACCTCTCATTGTGAGCCTCCTGCCTTGAGGCATAAGTGCTATGGCATTGAATGCCTGGTGAAACTAGCACAGCAAAAGGTACAATTCACCAGCTTCGTAACCTCAAGCAGGCCGAGTTTCCAACTTTCTGCAGGCTTTGAGCCAGGTTAGAGCAGAAAAGGTGAAGGAAGTCATTATAATTTCTTGAGGACTAGTTTGGAACTGAAGTTGGGATTAATAGTATCCTCTCTGAATAGCCTATTACAAACAAGCATGATTTGGAAATGCGAAGATGAATCTGTTCCAGGAAAATGGAAAGTGTAAGCCAAGCTCCAAAAGATGATGGTCATCTGTTGATAAAGAAATTGTGCAGAGTTGTGCTTCCGCTGTTCTCTCTACTCGCACTTTCTATAGCACAGCCAGCTTCCATATTTTCCTGCCATTCACATTGTTGGTTTCTACATCTTACCCCCTGAGCCTTGGCTGGGGAGGAGGGTGTGGCCCTATTTTTTTTTTGTTGTTGTTTGTTTGTTTAAGAACTGAGACTCTCACTTTGCATCTTCAGCTATCCAAGCTTTAAACAAGTGGTAGTACATAAATGTTTACATTACCGGCTGGATGTCCTTCCTTTTGGGGGAGGACGAAGGGAATGCCAGAAATCATACAACTTTCATGGTTTTCCCCTTGTGCCAAGGACAAATGGCAATGCAATTTGATCTAGAGATGACGTGGGCACCGTGGTCAAAGAAACAGGACTCAGAACAAAGTACAGTATTAGTACTTTTAGCTTTAACTTTGTTGAAATAGCTTTAATTGATAATCAACATTTGACCCAGTAAAGACAAGTATAAAAAATCAATTCTATAAGTATGGAAAATGTTCTTCCTAGTTCTAATTAAGTTCCAGGCTTAGATGAGGTCCCATATTTTTAATCAGTGCAGAATCCACTTTGGCATTGGGAGATGGTACTAGGGATAGGAGCACCCCACGGCTGATTCCTATGAGGTGGAGGTCAGACGTAGCTCCTCTCTCCAACCTTTTAATCAGTTTTTATACCAGCTGTTAGTGCTCTGTGCTGTCAAGGTGGAACTGACTCGTAACTGATTTTCCAGTGGCTTTTCAGAGGCTATCATCAATCAGTGGAGCTCTAGTGGCCCAGTGGCAAGAAGCTGCACTACAGTCCTGAAGGCACACAGTTTGAATCCACCAGCTGCTCCACGAGAGAAGGCTAGACAGTCTTTCCCGTGCAGTTCACTGCCTTTGAAAACTCACCTGTGGGTTGGTTCTGACTGGATAGTATGCAGCAGCAGCAGCAGCAGTCTTACAGGAGGAGATTGGCCATTTTAATCTGTTGAAGTAGCTGGTGGATTTGAATCACCTACCTTTGGGCTGGCAGCACAACCCCTTACCCACTAGGCCAGCAGAGCACTCCTCTCTCTCCCCTTTACAGACAGACACATACAAAAACACTCTCCCCATTTATGTGTGTGTTGTTGTTAGGTGCTGTTGAACCAACTCGGGCTCATAGTGATTCTGTATACAAGAGATCAAAATCTCGTGTGATCCCTCACCATGATCACTTCCACCCATTGTTGCACATATGTGCGTGCACACGCACGTGCGCGCGCGCGTACACACACACACACACATATTTACATAACTCATTGTCATTTCCAAGGTATAATTCCTCCCAGTGTGCACCACAAACTGACCGATACCCTTGTGGTAGGCTTTGTTACTGTTGCTATTGTGTAGCTGATGCTCCTGTGAGTTGTCAGAGGCAGTAAATCACACAGGAGGAGATTGCCCACTCTGCTCCCTCGGAGCAGCTGGTGGGTTCAAACCTCATAGGCTATGGGTACTTTCTTCCTGTGGTAGTCTGTGGATTCTTCATGTGCATGGTAGGATACCTTATTTGCATGGTAGGATACTTCATTTGCATGGTAGGCTCTAGTCACCTCATTTCCATCATCTAGTAAGGTACATACCAATATAAGGCAGGCAGTAGGTAGTCCAGGACCAGACAAAAATAAAGGTATCAAAGCCAGGTTGTTTCCATCTTACCCAGAAAATGTCAAATCGCCTGGACTAAAGAAACACAGTCTCTAGGGTAGAAAAGTACGGCAAAGACAGTTCCTCGGGCCTTAGGGGATAAGTCTCTCAAGCCATCCATGTTTCCAAATACAGGGCCACATAGGTTGTAGCTCGTTTCATTTTAGGCCTACATGAAGTCATATCATTCCACACTTATCCATAAAGAAAATGTCCTTGGAATGTATTTCCACTGCTGTGGAGTTGATTCGAAATGATGTTGATCCTAAAGCACAGAGTGGAACTGCCTCATCGAGTGTCCAGGACCATGGTCTTTATGGAAGCACACTGCTACATCTTCCTCACTGGAGCAGCTGGTGAATTTGAACTGTCGAGTTTTTGGTCAGCAGCTGAACCTGTAACCACTTAACCAGGGCTCCTTGAAATATAGACTACTGCTTTAAAAGGAGTGTGACATAAATGTTTGAGTGATGGCATTCTAGCTACTATGAGCCCTTGTCTGCTAGTGGAAAGATCGGTTCTGATCTCCCCAGAGGTGCCTTCGAATACAGGCTTGGCAATGAGCTTCTGAAGAGTCAGCCTTGAAAACCTGATAGAGCAGGTCTGCTCTGTGCACATGGGGTCACCATGAGTCACAAGCGACCTGGTGGCAACTAACTACCACTTAAAAAAAATCCTCTCTTTTACTAGTTGACCAGCTGAAGGGGGGGGTAGAAGCGGGGGAGGGAGGGCATAATTACAGAACAGGCGAGGAGCGCGTTGATTCTGTGCAGGAGGAACTAAGCTTTGCTTTCAGGTGGTAGCTGTGTCTCACAGTTTCTGTGTGGTTTAGGCTTTGCTTGAATTGATAGTTTTGGAAAGTAGAATTTTCCAGGAAAGAATCTGCAAATCTTACACTTGAGAAATTATAAAGTAAGGTAGTGAGCTTGGAATTAATTCATGTAATAGCTTTTATTTCAGATTACACCTTCCATGAAGACTTCGTGTGTGTGTGTGTGTGTGTGTGTGTGTGTTTCTATCCTCACTTGCCATGGACTAGAAAGAGCGTTGTGAATTGTCTTTCCTACTCCTTAGAGTTGAGCATGGGAGGCAGCTTACACTTTACTTGCTGATGGACCAATTGATTGAGTCTGGAGATGCTAATTTAATCTTCTTTGATTTTACTCCAAGTACTGTATTTAGCCTTTGGCATCCCCGAATGCTGCAGACGGTTACCATGCTCGGCTGCATTCTTCCCTAGGCTTATATGTGTAAATCTAGAAAGCAGAAACAATAGTCAAGACTCAGTTTTGGTTAAAGTAGGATTGTTTTTGCTGTGGTTTGGTGCCCGTTCAGGAACTGGCTTGTACAAACATTCTGTTATCTACTCCATTTACAATCAAGTCCCAGTCTGTCATTCCTGCCTTGTAAAGCAGTCATGTTGATTGGGACAGGCAGTGTGTGAATCTTAGGCTGATACTGTCAATCTGTGGGGTTTTGAGTACATCGTATTTTGGAGAATGTCCATAGTTTTGTTTTTAATATTAACTCTTAGTTTTAAAAAAAAGTTCAAAATGTGTCTAAAATAAAGGCAAATTAACGTCAGTGTCTTTCTGATGATGCATTATCAACTTATAAAGGCTCCTTGGAAAGAGCCCTGCTAGAGAACCAGTTTGGGGAGTTTCACATATTCAAAGTTCATACTGGCCTGGTGGGTTTTGGCTGTGATCTTGGTGTTTCACTTTCTTGGGGCGGGGAATGCGAACAGAGCAGGAGCCCTAATTGGATGTGGGAGGGTTGAGTTAGTGAAATTTAGGTTATAAGATTCCCATGCATGCCAGTCAGTGTGTTATTATAGAGACAGGCGAATAGATAGCTGCCTACATGCAGACAATTCTAGGTGTGTCCTGCTTTCTACAACAGCTGCTAGCCTAAAACTGTCTTGTCAATCAACATGATCCTGGGAAACGGGGCGGAGCGAGAGATACTACTTAAAAAAAAATCTAGTTGACAATCCCTGGCTCTATCCCTCACTTCAATCTAAGACTCCCTGAATCAGATTTGACAGAAGTCAGGGGGACAACATGCTTTTGTAATTTTTCTCTAGAATTAAAATTTTTTGAAAAAAGGACAGTTTGAAGTTTCTGGTCAGTCCTGGGCAGTATAAAGAATACAGAAAGTCTTTAAAAGGCTTCATATTGTTGCTTTACTTTGCTTTTGGATTCGGTCAGGGATTACTGTCTACTTCATTAAATTAAGACTAGTGGCAGAGGTAAATCTTGCAAATGCCTTTCATATTTAAGCTAGAGCTCATGTGTAATGTATGGAAACTGAAAGTTGTGAGGTGGGACGACTTCTCAGGTCGTGAGAACAAAACGAGCTTGTCTCCCATTGTTCTGGAAGAGCTGCATTCCATTGTGCCAGGTCATAAACACTGGAACAAGGTGTGTGTTTTACCTGTTGTGTGTGACTGTCAATAGCCATTTCCACTGCCATTTAAAATTACACTTTTGAGACACTAATGCATTTAAATGTGAAGGTTCTAAAACAGGCAAAGCCTGTGAATCATTTTGCCAATTAAGCACAGCAAAAACAGTCAGCCAAATGGGACAATGCATCACTTGGTATTAAAAGGTAATTCTGAAGTTCACTTGGTAAATTTTTATGGCACTGACCTGACTTTAGCCTGTGTTTTCATTTGCAGGATAACAAAGCCACTGACATTTGCTGATTGTGTTGGGGACGAACTTCCTTTAGGATGGGAAACTGTATATGACAAGCAAATTGGAGTTTATTACATGGACCACATAAATAGTGAGTAGTGTCACGTTGTTGTTATTATACGTGAATAAGTTTTCATGGTGAATCTCGAAGACATCAAAAAGGTTTTGCAGAGATAAGCAGTCATCACTGCCCTCTAAATGCACTCTGAAGTTTTCATGAGCTGAGTTCTTAGGAAAATGGAGCAGTCCCGTTGATGTGCCTTGTCTGTGTTTTGCTGAGGTCTGCATGTAAGAATGTTTTATAGAGAATTTTAGTATCTGATATAATGAATAAACTTCCTAGGCAGCCTGGGAACATAAGAAGGTTATTTATTGAAAAATAGAATTTACACATTGTTGAAACAATAAATGTCCAAGCATTTATCTTCATGTCATTTTGTCTTATATGTTTACTTTGAACTTTAATGCCTGATTGCCTTTTCGATCTTTGTGAAGGGAGGTGAATGGTGTAAGTACTACAGCTAAAATGTTCCATCTTTGACTCTGCCAGTCTCTTTCCAGAGCTGTTTAGAACAGTGATTCTCAAATAGGGGCAATTTTGTTCCTCTAGGGAGGCATTGTGCTCGCTTCAGCAGCACATATACTAAAATCGGAACGATACAGAGAAGATGACACACAAATTCGTGAAGCGTTCCATACTTTTTAAGGTTGATTTAGGATAGAGCAGAGTTCAGAGCTCTTGTACATATAGGGTCGCTGTGAGTCGCAGGTGACTTGACGGCACAAAAACAGGAGACCATTTAGCAAGTTGTGGAGGTATTTTTGATGGTCACAGTTGGAATACTACTTGTTATAAATGGTGGGTAGAGGCCAGAGATGCTGCTTAACACTCTCCAGTGTCTCCAGAAAAAGAATAATCGGACCCCAAATACCCGCATTACCAAGGGTGAGACTCTGCTCCCAGAAGCTCCGTTTTTTTCTTCTCCACTCCTCACACACGGCTTTCTGCCCTTTCATTGGCTTCCCTTGGTTCCTGTGTACAAGCTGAGAATCCATTTCACTTAGAGATTCATACTTTTTCCCACTTTCCCATTTGTTTTCTAATCACTTCGACTCTGCACTGTTATTATCTGCCATCATTGCTTTCAGTGCCAGGATAGCGCTGTGTAAGAGACAGACCTGGCTTCTCCTTGGCTAGCGTCCTCTCCTTGACTTCACTGAGTGTAGCAACTAGGGCCCTGAAGATGGATAGTACTTGTCATCTGAGCAACTTAGGATGAGCTTTGTGTGACCAGCTTCAGGTTGGGGTCTTCAGGGCCGATTCCAGCATGACCACTGGCCTTCCAAGTTCAGGACAGGGGAACCTGCAGTGGGAGTGCTCTTCATGTCCCTGTTCTCAGGCCTAGGAATGGCCAACATGTGTCTTTCAGCAGACACTCAATCACAACTGTCATCCAAAGATTATGCTGTGGTGACTGGAGTTGGGGTACTGACCTCTCTCAAGTGGCAAGAGAACTTCTGGATTGTTCTCCCACTCCCAGCACAGAGCAAGGTGCTTAGCTGAGATCCTCCAGCTGAGGGCTGACAGATATAACTGCAGTCAAGTGTCTGTGTGTATGAGATGGAGACAGACAGACACACAGAAACAGACCCAGTAGAACTGTATGTGCTTGCCACTGGTGACTTGCCCGTTGGGGCTGCCTCATGTGACTGCCACAAGTGACCATGTTATTTGGTGGTGTGGTTTCATCAGCAGGATCCCCACTTCCTAGCCAGGTACCGTGTTTGCTGGTGGCATGGCATTTGCCTTTTACAACCCTTGCAGGCAAGTTTACTTGCCACTGTCCAGGCCCAGGGCCCTGCAGGCTTGCCTGGCTTCCGGATCCAGTGAGCTCGATCTTTGAGGCCCTTTGTCTTCTGGGCCTCTCTTGCTAGCTCTCTGTTCTCTCTGAGTCACCGCAGTGTTGGTGTAGGGCCTCTTGTTATGGTCACTCAGGTTACGCCTTGAGGACACAGGAAAATGAAGGCCAACCTCCACCCTCATGGAGTTGCCACTCTAAGATAAGGCCAGGTCCCCTTACACTGACTCATCACCAAGGACTGGCTTCTGCCACTGTGAGCATGAAGGGAGGACCTGCCCCTGAGGGACAGCTCCCAAGTCACATGGAAACCAGAGTCATGCTTACCAGGGGCTCAAGGAAGGGGAAGGAGGGGTTACACTAAGGGTTTCCGTCTGAGATGCTAGACACTTGTTGGAAAGGAGTAGTGGTGAGGGTTCCAATGGCAAACTTTGTGTTATACAGTAAAACCTGTGAACGCTGGACCTGTGCATGGTGGAAACTGGTTAGAGAAGGTGCGCACAGGCATTTTCCATTATTGGAGAGCAGTGCAAAAGTAGGAAGAATGCATCTGGTAACACGTTGAAAAGTTGTGAACCCTGCAAAAACAAGACGGTCCTATCGCGTTCCTGCTCTCACAGGTTTCACTGTCTTAATTAGCACAATCAGCTTGTTTAAGAACAAGGTAGCAATGAGTTTTGAAAGGTGTTGAGATCTCTGGTGGTCAGAAGGGGACAGAGCTTTGTAGATGTAGCCATGCAGTGTGTTCGGGGCCTTTGAAAAAGTTCAGTCTGTTTAGAGGAGATTTGTGGGGGAAAGGACAGAAAATGGACATGTACCTGTAGACTAGTCTGGGAATCCAGGCAGAAAATAGCACCTGTGGCGATTAGTTTTGAATTTTGAATTGCGGAATATCTCATGCCTGGAGGAGGAAACAGTGATGTCAAATAGACACTTCTCAGTGGTGCCCCCTCTTGAGGCCCCACCCCCCGCGAGTATATATGCCTTACCTGCTTTCCCCAAAGTACATCTCCACTCTTATGTCATGCCAGGGTCACTGGACTTTGGACTTAATAGAGTTTCATGTAGAGTCGGAAAGGTGAGTTTGGCGAGCTCATGATTGTGGTGGGAAGAGACAGGAAGCCTGGGCATTCCTAGAATGAGAGATGAAGTTCAGGTAAACTAAGGGCATGGAGAGAGGGCTATATTGTTTGTCATGGTCATCTCGGGACAGGAGTCCCCACTTCTTGATGACCCATAGAATATTCGAGGTGAAGAGGAGCAGGAGCTTTTGGCGAATGAGTCCCAGGTGGTTCCCAGGCTGGAGAAGTGGGCACATCCAGGTGCTGCCCCTCAGCGAGAGAAGGCAGGCAGGAAGAGAGGCAGGTGTTTATCTTTGTGGTTGGGTGGCTTTGTTTTGGTTTTGGCAGTGAAAGGGCAGAGGGTAAGAATGGGCTCTGCCTTGCTTGAATGAGTCAGAATGACTTTGGGTCTGTCCAGATGGAGTCGTGTCAAGGAGGCAGTTAGAAATAAAAGACTGAAACTCAGAAGAGTGCTTGGAGCCCGGTCAGCATCAGCTCTTAGGAGAGCCATTGGAGTGAGAAAGAGCGGAAGACAGGAATTTATGGGTAGGAGGAGACAAGGAAGTCAGCGAAGAGTGAGAAAATGTTGCTTGGTCTTTCATGGAGATGAAAGAACAGGCAAGCAAGCCAAGCCAAGTGGCAGTGGAGTTTATAGCTTCCTGCATGAAGGAAGTCTGTAAGAGGAAGGTTATAAATCCTTTGCGTTTGACAGTTACGAGCTCATTTGGACTCATCTACCACAACCTTTATTTCCAGTGTGGTCATTACCTGTGGGAAATTGTCTTGAATTGTCTTCCCTGCCCCACTCTCTATCTGCCTTGTCACCCTGTCTTCTCCTCTCATTGTACATATATGGTCAGAAAGTATTCCACCCTGGAGAAAGGCTCCCTTGGTACAATCTTCCAGAATGCACATCCCAGGCATAGATTACATTTCGTAGGGCCATACCAGTGTTGCAACTGCATGGCTGCTGATCAGTCGAAAAGATTGCATCCATTAAGCCATTTGTGTTCTTACCCTTTTCATTACAGAGCTCACCCAGATTGAGGATCCCCGAGAACAGTGGCGACGAGAGCAGGAGCGGATGTTGAAGGAATATTTAGTGGTAGCCCAAGAGGCTCTGAATGCCAAGAAAGAAATATACCAAATTAAGCAGCAGCGGTTCGAGCTGGCCCAGGAGGAGTACCAGCAGCTGCACAAGATGTGTGAGGATGACTGCCGCTCGCATGCCAGCTGTGAGTTGACCTGGCTCTGGGGTGAACACTCATGGCCCTATGAGCCATCTCTCTATTGGGTTAGCTGCACACTATATTGCTCACTTGGGCAGGACAGTTTCATATTGGGTCAAACTGCATGCTTTTAAATAATCACTGATCAGCATTGGAATCTTTCACCTGGCAGCTATGTTGGCTGCTAATGGAAAGGATAGTAGTTCGAACCCACTGGGAGAACGGTGAAGCGTGTGCTCCGGGACAGATCCTTGGGGATCCTGCAGGACAGTTCTGCTCTGTTCTGCCGAGTCACTGTGTGTTTGAATTAACTTGGTGGCAGTAGGTTTCGGTTTAGCTTCTTTCTAGGTACTGGAATAAGGTGCTGACCAAGAGAGGAGAGGCTCCTGGCCTCCTGGAGGTGGGGAGACAGAAAATGACCTGCCAGCCACCTGGGTTTTCCCTTGTGTCGCCTAGGCCATCCACACCACTGTCTCTTTACTCCTGCATGGAGAGATTAGGGAGCCTTCAGAAATGCCAAGCACCCTTCTCTTCCCAGAGGGAGAGTTCAATGTAATATGTAATGCAGACACTTGGCACGTTTCTTTTGCCCCTGATGTGTGTGACACACACACACACACACACACACACACACACGGATATTCTCAGAAAGAGCCCTCTTTTGTTCAGGTGACAGCACCGGGTGGGTTTGCGTTTCATTAGTTTCACCAGCTTGCGTACCATTGTTTTGTTATTGATGTCGTTGGGCACTGCGAGAGCTAGTCCGTTCTGGCAGAATTGGCACACCTAACAGTCCAACGCAGAGTCTGTGACCATGGCTGGCATTGGTGCAGAATGTATGAAGTTGAAATGCTAGATTCTATTGACTTAAAGACTCAAGTGCATTGGAGACATGGCGAGACTTACCTGCTGACTTAACCAATTCCAAAGTGCTTATCTGGTCCCACTGCTCCCTCGGCTGGAATGCTCTGTGTGGACATAATCAAGGCTTCCTCTTGTGAAAATAGCTTTAGAGATCAGATTGGGCCTGGTTTTGTTGTTTTGTTTTTTTGGTTCCTTTTTTTTTTTTTTTTTTTTTCAGGAAAGGCCTGGAGAGGTCACTGGACCTTTCTGGGGCCTATCAGCTCATCAAGGAAAAGACCGAATGGAATCTCAGAGTTAATCCACGTGGTTTATCAGGCTGCTTGCTCCTGGCCCTGGGATTTTAACCAAATTCTTTCCAACCTCACATATTTCAGTTTGCCCTTTGACCTAAGCTATCAATTGCAAGGAAGAAGAGTGTAGTAGACACGACCCAAATGGATTCTTTCCTGCCCACAGGATAGAGCTGAAGATGGCGAGCCTGTTGACATCAGTTCTTGTCATCTGCAGAGGTCTCATCGGCCATGGCTTGAGTGGGAGCAGTGATGGCAGCACCCTGAGATCGCACACCTGCCATCAGCGGCTGCTTGGGTCTCACACAGGCCCAAGCTCTCACACTGTTAGTCATCTTGAGCAGGGAGGTGTCACCTGCTCAATGCTGGGAACAGAATACATGGGGTCAGAAAGAATGTGAATTTCTTTTCTCTTGTTCTTCATCGCTAATGACTCCAAGTGAAAAGAACCCATATTCGATGAGCTAGATGTTTTATATGCAATATTATGATTGCAACATTATGAAGTACATGCTGTTATCTTTTTTTTTATGTTGCAGGTCACTTTTTTTCTATAATTATATTTTATTAATTTTCATAAACATTTACAGAGATTTTGGGTTTCCATTCATTCATTGTTGCATTATTCTCTCTGCCCTCCTCCCAGTTTGTTCTTGT